AAATAGGGGTAGAAAAGACTGAAAAATATAATAAAATTAGAAATAGATCGATATTTCCAAATTTGCGGAAGTTAAAACTTCCTCTATGAGGAAGCCATGTGCAAATTTCTAATTTTTTTATATGTTACAAAACAATAAAAGTTTTTGGTAACATGGCACAAAGTATTGCAAGTGCCAAAAAAAAAAATAATATATCTTTGCTAACAAAAATATATATTGTTGCACCCGCGCTGAACTCGAGCGAGATGCCCGGTAGGGGGAAGTGGGGGACATTGATACAGCGGGAACATTGATACAGTTATCATATCTCTGCATGAGAAACATCTAAGAAGGTCACGTATCCATGCATTATGATACACGAATAACCTAACCAAATTTCGTATGCGAGCAGTAGCCACTTGATGAATGACAGGTATAAACGTGTTTTGCGTACTTCAGGTAAATATTTTCAAAGTCTGAAGCGTAATTTTTCATATTAATCTGATTAATACTAAATAAATATTTCGTCAAAAGTAAGAAACAGTACATCTCTTACTAATTTTTCTCGAAAATATTGACATGACTTTGTATTATTTTCGGCTGAGAATATATTTTATTATGTATGACGCTGTGGAGCAGATTCATACACTGACTCGTGGGGCACTTGGATACATATTAATATGTATCTATGTGGTTTATAGTATTAAGTAAGATATTTTTATTTTATTTTAGACGAAAATGGTAAGAAAGTACCAAAAAAAGACCGATAGAGTCTATATTAATGAAGATGCCGTAAACTGTAAACTTGATCTATTTTCTTATAACTTGTAAAAAAATTAATTAAAATATTTAAAAAATATGTATGTTGATAATTATTAATTCTAAGATAAAGTACAAAATGTGGTAATTTTTTATTTTTGAGAATATTTAATTAGTTTTGTTTTTAAAAGTTTATTTGACTGATTAAACCTGCAATACTTAAGAAGTTGCAATACTTTAGAAGAGTTTAACAATAATTATTCTATGTGATAAGATAAATTACTTTTGTGTTCAAATGTTTTTCAAAGATGTGATTTGAGTTATTTTGTATTTCTAATTATTAGACTACTACGTGAGTGATCAAAAAACAGATTCTTGTATTTTTATTTTTGAAATAATTGTTAATTCCGTATAAATAAATCTCTATATACAATAAACATAGTTTGTTTTAATAATAATCCAATTTATTTCTGAATAATATTAATATAGATCACTGAGAATCAAAGTGCCCCGTGCCCGTATCATTGTACCCCGCATATGAGGCACATTGATACAAATTTCATTTTTTACAAAAAATGTTATAACATTTCTTATTATTAACCTACAGCAAAAAGGCAATCAAAACACGTAAGTAGAAGGACAAGCCTTTAAATTTAATCTATTACATTTATCTTAATCTATCTGCAAAGTTATTTATTTAACTCTTGAAAAAAAATCGTATCAATGTCCCCTATTTCCCCCTACACAAGAGTCGCGAAGCGTCCTTAGGCCGGTTCTACAATTAGTCGTATATCGGAGTCGGATGTCGAAACGCAGCCGATAATTCAATGAGAAAAATTCGTTTTTGAAAAAGAAATTCTCTCATTGGACCATCGGCTGCGTTCCGACATCCGACTCCGAAATACAACTAATTGTAGAACCGGCCTTTTAGCAACAAGCCGGATTGATCTAACAACGACTGTAAGATTTGTTCTCGAGTGGCTGGACCGTTCAGACGTGTGTCCACGCTCTTCTTGTAACGAGACTTTAATAAACTTTAAGACTGTTTTCCTTTTTCACGGTGTTCCCTTTATTTCCGCGAACTTCGAGAGTGCGAGGGCGCGAGTGTGAGTACGGAAGAGAGACGCGGCGAGTGCAACAATATGTTAAATCTTTGATTATAGTCTACGATTCTTAGGAAACTAATGACTATAACCTACTTAATCTGTGTAAATTTACCAAATTAACGATTGATTATTGATATAACGATTAATAACTGATAATTGATTTAATTAACAAAATTAATTAAATCAAATAAATAAATAATTAACGATACTGAAAAGTTATCAAATAATCATTATTTTTTCAAAATTATTATATATTTTCAGTCTGCATCGCATTCAAATCAATGGATGCATTTAGCACTATAACCACTGACTAAGCAGCTAAATAGCAATTAAATGAAATTTGTTGGATTTAAAGATAAGAGCCATTCATATTTTATTGTTACTTATTGTTAGCCGCTCAGTGAACGGTTGTAGTACTAAATTCATTCATTCACGAGATTTAAAAGTGTCACAATCAACCCTATCAAATGTTGTCACATTTAACCCGTAAGGACCGTATTTATAGTCGCGACTCAACCTGAGAATCAGGTTTTAAGCCAAGTTTAAATCAATCTTTCATCTTTCATGTGTTTCATCTTTCTTTCTTTGTGAGGATCAATCGCGGATCAATCAACAACTATATGAATACGATCCTAAGTCTTTAACTTAAACTCATAAAATTCCAAAATTGGGCTAAATAAATGCGCGACAGTACCACGGACACTACACGCCAATAGCTAAGAGACATCGCAATTCTCTACTAGACTATAACCCGGATAGATTACAACAGAAAAATCTGATTCTTACCTGTTTTTGGAGAGATCTCACATATAACACCTTCTGCCGCCGAACAAATAAAACACATCACACTTGCTATGCTTGATTCTTACATTTTTTTCATCCATATCTCTTCTTCTCAAGTTTTATAATTGGGGGACCGCTCGATATTCGAGATATTGAAATGTCACAACTACTCCGTGTCACAATCAACTCCGCTCTCCCCTACACATAAGAAAAACTAACATTATTATACAATTTTCTTAATCTTAGAAAAGTGATAGATACATAACTGAATACAGGTTTAAAAGTTCAAAGTTTGATAAAAAACAATCGTTGCATGATATGGACTTTGCCGAATTATCCATTTTAGCGTTTGTTTAGAGAAATACATATAATATTTAATATTATGTATTTATAATATTATATACAGCTTCCTGCTTATATAGAAATTTGGACCATCGGAAAGTACTTTTAAGGACGTTCTCTCGTCCTTATACTAGAGAAAATCGATTTTCTTAGGATTTTCTTGAAACTGTGAATATATGTTAATTTAGGTGTGCTTTAAGCGTGGTATAAATTTCAGTACCTCTTCCGGTATAAAAAATCAAGATACTGAGCCTCAAAGTTTCAACTTTTACTAATGAAAAGGTTTTCCAGGCCAAACGGTAAGAGATACGAGGTTGGCCAAGAGGACTAAAGTTGCTCCTCTCGTCGAGTTCTATAAGGAAAAAATTCCAAAACTAAAAAAAATTAAATTAAAATTTTTTTTTGAAACTTTGAGGCTCAATATCTTTATTTTTTATCCCGGAAGAGGTACTGAAATTTATTCCACGCATAAAGCACACCTAAATTAACGTATATTCACAGTTTCAAGAAAATCCTAAGAAAATCGATTTTCTCTATTATAAGGACGAGAGAACGTCCTTAAAAGACACGGTAATATTTCGCGCCAAGTTCACGCACAGAGCGCAGTTCGTGTGGAACGGCGGCGTTCTATTTACGCGAACCGCTCATTGTCAGTTAAATGGAGTTCAAATTTTCATTAAATAAGAATAATGAAAGAGACGTACAATACGATTAAGGTTAATTTAATACCATTTCATTTAATTTGTCTATTTGATAATATAATGTATTGCCCATTAATTACCGCGTCTTATTGGTTCTTTCATTATTCTTATTTGAGTTATTCAAGAGATCTTTTATATATTTTTATTTTATTCATATTTTCATATTTCAGCGATTAAAGTGGTCAAATCGTAATTAGTCTCAATCGATAGCTAGTGCTAAATTAAGTAATAAATATGTTTTAAGTATTTTCTTAACGAGTTATAAGGGAATATTACCATTTGCATCAAGAGGAAAGTCCTCTAAGGGTTGCGATGCAAAAATCGCTATCTTAAAATAATAGCACATAATTCGCGTAAGTATTGTGCATAGTTAGATAATCGAATTTTGGTATTTTTAACGAGTTATAAGGCAATGTTACTATTTGCATCAAGAGGGAAGTCCCTTGAAATGCCCAAGGCCTTGAAACCCAAGAAATGCGGTGCAAAAATTGAAATTATACTCTAATGAGAGAGCGTATAATTAACGCATAAATCTTGTGTATTTGTTTTTTAGATTTGCTTATGTGGGAGGGGGCGGCTCACTGACAGCAACTCAGCTCCCATTAAAAAAAAATTTTTTTGCTAAACAAAATTAGCGCAAAACTTTTTTCTCATGAATTTGAAGAACACATAAATAGCGCATTGTCATATAATTTAGTCATTAAATTTTAATCAAGTGAGAGGGCCAGCTAGGCAGACATAGGTAGTGTTGTCCTTTAGTTCGGCCGTATGTGAGTGAGCCGCGCGCCTGGTAGTATGAGTGAGCGCACTACCAGGCGTGCGGCTCACTGACATTGGCCCGACTAAAAGACAGTGCTAATTAAATTGAGTTTACTCAATAATTACTGCTTTACTGAGCATTATACAATAGAAAAAAATGGCTCAAGACTTTATGACTTAATTTTGATAAGAAATATCGTTGTGTAAATAGTGGACGCGATCCTGTCGCGCGACGTACTTGTTAATGTTATTTAAAAAGAAGTGTGATATCTGTACAAAGTTACATTTTCAAAGAAGGTAAAAGTATTGCGTCAAGTACAAGCACTCCTTGCACTTAATTATTCTGCGCAAATATCTATTTTATGATTCTATAAAAAAAGAACTTTACAAAGGTAAAAGAGACTTTATATTTTATTCATATCTCTATATCAGTGAATAAACAATTTAATTATTTGTATAAAAGATTTAATATCAAAATAGACGCCAACTTATAATTGGGTTCTCAAGTAAAATTTTTTTATTAAGCGGTATCCATAATTAATGTAGAGAATCTAAGCCGATTTTTAGTACTTTTTGAATTTAAAAAAAAAACCTAAATTTGAGAAAGTTATAGCTTTCTAAAGTTTCTTTGATGACGGCAACTTCAAAAGATTTCGCAACAACATTATGACGTCACGCACATTTTCGTGTACTATATTTTCTTCAATTTTGAAGATATTGCAAAAATTCAAAAAGTTTACAAAGAAAGTATGCCATGATCTATCAGAATATACTGTTGGGTAAAAGTCGGTTAAAGACCAAATTCCGTAAAAAAAAAAACGTTACAAAGATAAAAGACATGCCAAGTAGGACATAAAATATGCAATAAAATATACAATAAAAGTATACAAAAGTACATGTCACAAATGTTGAACAGAATTGAATTATTCATAAACTGTTCTAAAATGGATATTAAATTAATCAATGCAATTTGCCAAGCATTACTAAAAAAAAAAAAAACAATCTCGAAAAAACTTATTTGTAAAAAATCTTGTAATAATGCGCTTCCCGAATATGTATCACCTCCGGCCGAAGACTCGCCAGACGAGAAGGGCACGGCGCGCCGTGCCTATCTATACTTGCGAGATACTGGCACTGGTTCGGAGCGCCGAGCGATGTTAGAAACGATCAAACTCCACCGAGCGCGATCGCAGCGGCGGGATGCCCGTAATACCGAATCGTCTCGGCCGACTCACCCCAGCAGCCCCGGCTCTCGCGAGTCTCGCGTCCTCCGACGCCACTACTCCCGACGCGACACCATGTTAATAGGGGGTATAAAACCTTGAAATTTTCCGCGAAAGACAAATTCTGCCGTGAGCAAGCCTCTGATCCGTCTGATCATCCGCTGTTCTCACGTTCCGAAATCCTAGCTGACACAACCGAGTCAAATACCGCAGTAGAGAGTACTCTGTCTCCGCCGAGTGATTCTCGGCCACAATTCGATCCCGCGCTAACGCAACCGCGGAGTAAAGAGTTTTCTATGGCACGCCGTTTTGCTATTTATTAATAGGATTTTTTAATCTAAAATAAAAATTCAGTAATTGATTTAAACTGAAGTAGATAGTTTTTCGGAACCATTTTTATTATGTCATAACATAATAAAAATAAATTAAAATTATGTATTCACGTAAAATTAATTCAAAGTAAAAATTTTATGAATAAATAGCAAAACGGCGTGCCATACATAGAGAAAGGTACAATTTATATGTCGAATTACTTTTATGTCAAGACATAATTTTAATTCATTTTTATTATGTCATGAGATAATATTAATGTATTTTTATTATGTCGTAACATAATAATAATTGCAGAAATATAAATTATGTAAACTATCATAGTAATTCAGTAAATTAAAATTATGCTACAACATAATAAAAATTCACGAATTAAAATTATGTCATGGTTAATAGAATTTCAGTGAATAAAAATTATGCCATGACATAATGAAAAATGAAAATTAGAGTTACGTGCTATTATACTATCATTTCAATCCTAGATTTTATATAAAATTTTAAATTGAAAGAAATTTTCATTATGTTAAGACATAATATTTATTGAGAATTTGTATTATGTACATAATTTTAATTCTTTAATTTTTAGTATGTACATAATTTTAATTCTTGAATTTCCATTATGTACATAATTTTAATTCCTGAATTTTTATTATCTACATAATTTTAATTCTTGAATTTTTATTATGTACATAATTTTAATTCTGCATTTTCAATTATGTAATAGCTTAATAATAATTCGATGAATTATAATTAATATGTCTAGACATAAAATAATTTCTTTTCTTTGAGTATCAATTTAATTTGGTAGAATTTTTATGATAGTATTAAATAGCAAAACGGTGTGCCATAGTTTTCTGTCTCTGTCGAGCGATTCTCGACAGATGACGCCGCTTTTTTACGATCCGGGGTGGAGAGTCTTCCGCCTTGGGGGAACACTCGCAATGCTCGTGGAATCATTTCATTCTTATTGTCTGTCAAATGTTAAACAAAGACGAATGATGCGAGCGTTGTGAGTGTTAAGTGGAACGCACCCTAAGGGTCTTCCAGTTTAAAAGTAATGCCGTTCGACTTGCACTCCGTCCCCGCCACGTTTTAGCGGGCCCGAATTAGGGCAAATGTTTTCGTATACCTCGACGACATAATTATCATAAGCGAAACGTGCGAACAACACTTATTGCGCGAGGTATTCCGACGCCTTCGCGAAACAAATCTCAATCATTTCGAACAAATGCCGATTTGTGTGAACTTCTACAATATCTTAGGCACATAGTCGACCGTGAAGGGATCCGCATCTTAAAAGGGATCCCAGAAAAAGTACGGGCGATTACTCACTGGTCGTAGTCGCAAACGATGAAATAGATCAAGCAGTTTTTGGGGGTTGCCTCGTAGTATCGCCAGTTCATACAAGACTTCGCGACCGTCGCCGCGCCGCTCACCGCATTGACTCGCAAGCCCGCTGGAACTGGGGGCCGGAAGAAAACACCGCGTTTGAAAAATTAAAAGCCACCCTGACTATAAGTATCGGTACTCGCCCAGACTTCTCTCGCCGTTTTGTATTGTAAACCGATGCCAGCACTACTGAACTCGGGGGATCATGTTAACACAGAATTTCCCGATGGGCGAGCGAGTCATCGCGTACGCGAGCTGTACCCTCAACCAGGCCAAAAGGAATTACCATAGACATAGTATATATCTAGATCGAGTGTTGAGAAGTGGAGGTAGAGGTGCACGTAGAAATCGTTGTGGGACCGTTCGTTCTCTCTCGTTCACGTACGAACGAGAGAGAACATGCACGCGAGCGAGAGAGAACGAACGGTACCATAACAGAGTGCCTCCTTTTCTA